ACCATGCCACCTGTGAGGGTACGAGGAGGTCCTTCAAGGACACAGCCGACACCCCCAGAGGGCTTTTCCATAGCTGCAGTGGAGATTCCATCTATTTCCCCACCAAACAGGTGCTGACCACTGGCACAGGCTTGCCACCCAGTCCCTTTCAACCCATCCCAGGACAACGGCACATATGCCTTAAATGCTGTGCAGAGCAGCTACAGCTTGTGATCGTTCTGACTCTAGTGTAGGTGCCATGCACACAATATGGATCACCAAAGCCACCCTACCCACTTCTAGTGTCCAAATCCAGACTGAGTGAGCTGCACCTACTGTAGAGGATGGGTTAATACAGGACATCCCAAACTACGTCCAGTTTTCATCTTCAGTAATGGTGGTGTGGAGTTAAATTCATAAAGCGTTAAGAATTCGTTAAGGATTTCCCCAGAAAGGAAACAAAGTAAATGTTTTCATGAGCTGAAGCATACACTCGAACCAGGATGATCGTCCTCAGTGACTTAAAAGCACCAGTATCGACCTGCAATTCATTTTCTGCATAGGTGAGACTATCCAGTGAGCTGAGGATTGGTGAGAATGGGATGCCCTTGTGGATGACACATGTTGCTGATGTCACTGGGAGGAAACTCTGCATGTAAAGAGAGGGGGGGGGGTTGGCACAACCTTTGTTGGGTTGTCCCAGGTGATTCCAGTCCTTCAACTTAGGACAGAAGCATCATGAATGCATCATAGGCCGGCTCCTGCTCCGAGTCCTTAGAAATGGAGCTTCAGAACTATTCCACAGAGCCTAACATCCAGCCAGGGAATGTGTCCACTGGTTCTCTCCTTGGCTCTAAGGGGCTGCCAAAATTTCATAGTGGATTCAAGGAAAGCTTTCCAGAAGCACGTCAAAGGCATTCAACCTACAGGGGGTGGGTTCACTGGACTGTATGGATCTGTGGACTCTTCTTTTGGAACAAGGACTCTGGAAGAACATCGGCTCATCCCTAAGAGGGATTATTAGGCTCCCTCCCCACCACCCAAACGATGTCCCACTCGCCTAGGAATCCAGCTTGGACTGCATGGGATCCTCAGTTAGAGGCCTCAGAGCCTTGTTGTCTCTCTCCTGGCATTCCCACACCTCTTGGGTAGGGATGGGCAAGAGAATGCCCAAATGGAGGGATTGGCTTCTAGAGTAAGGTTATTAAGCAACCTGAAATGTTTAGGGAGTTGGGGAACCAAGCACAGCAGACTCAATACAGCCAAGGGAATGGACACTATATTCCCATGTCTTGCTGCAGTTCAAGAGATGATGCTTTTTTTTGGCTCTGGCCTCTTGGCAGAGCAGTAGAGTAGCAGAGGCACAGGCTGGGAGAGAGGCTGAGTGGCCAGGGGACTGGCGAAGGCAAGGTAGGAGCTGGGCAGGGGAGCAGTGGGCCAGGAGCAGCAGAGAGGAAGGGGGCGGGGACAGAGGGGCTAGAGGGGCCAGGAGGGAGCAGGGGGCGGGGCCACTGGCCTGAGGGACTGATAAGGCTGCGCTCAGCCATTGGCGTCGTCCCTTGTCTGCATCCCTTAGCTGTGACCTGGGCTGTCCGGAGACTCCCTTCTCACAGAGGCTCGATTGTTTGTTTGTTTGTTTTTGTTTCTGCTGTGCTGTGCTGTGCTTTGCTTTGCTTTGCTTTGTTTTTCTTCCAATTTAAGTTTATTTTATCCTTTTGTGTGTGTGCAAATGGGTTTTTGTCTGGGGGAACTGGGCGAGTGAGAAGAACTGCAGGACAAACAAGGCAGGGGACCAAGGTAAGGTCTTGGAAGGGATCCCAATGGCAGACCAAGAGATGGCGTTGGCGGGAGTCATGGGTGTTGCTGTCCACTGCGAGAGCTGCGACATGTTCGCCCTTCTCCCCCAGGAGAGGCAGGGATACACTTGCCCTCGGTGCAAGTTGGTGACCCTGCTAGAGGAGGAGGTGAGGTGCCTGAGGGCTGAGAGAGCTCTCCAGGCACCCCTGGAGTAGTCCCCCTCTGGACAGAGGGTTGAGGGAGAGACCACGGGAGGAGCAGCTGCAGAAACATGGAGGTATGTCACCCACAGAGAGGAGGCCAGCACGGCCTCCTCTTTTTCCTGGCACCAATCTGGAACTGGGAAACAGGTTCTCTCCACTTGGGGAGGCTGGGGCTGATGAGGCCTCAGGGGACCAGCAGGACCCCCAGCCTGGGATGTCAGGCGGCAGGGGGCCGCTGTGGGAGAGATGAGAGCCAGGGCATGGCTGCCCACCAGCACCGAGAAGGTACGGCGGTGGGTGATTTTTGTTGGGGACTCCCGTCTGAGGGGCACTGAGGCGGCGGTGTGCCGCCCCAACCTGGAGACAAGGGAGGTTTGCTGCCTGCCGGGCGCACGCATCCAGCATGTGAAGGACAGAATGGAGCATCTTGTTCACTCCGGGGGTCACCGGCCGCTCCTGGTGATCCATGTGGGCACAAACGATGTGTCCAGGCAGGGTGTGGTTGGGACCACCAGGGACTTTGAGGCCTTGAGGAAGAAACTCAGGGAGCTGAAGGCCCAAGTGTCCTTCTCGTCAATCTTACCTGTCCAAGGATTTGAGCCAGGAAGGGACAGAAGGGCGTCCGAGGTGAACAACTGGCTTAGGGTGTGGTGCTAGAAGGAACGCTTCGGGTTCCTCAACCACGGCACTCGTTTTCTTGCCAATGGACTTCTGGCAAGGGATGGGTTACACCTCACGAGGATGGGGAAAAGGTTCTTTGGAGATGCTCTAGTGAGCTTCATCCCGAAGACTTT